GAGTGCAAAGTGATTGCCTTTTTGCTGTAAATCACACATGCAGTGTTTGCCAAGAGAAACTGTAACGTTCAAAAAACTGCATCGGCTCATTTGTAACCTTTGTGAATAAAACTCTCGCTCATCAGTCAACTGCCGAAGGAAAAGGAATCACTGAAGCGATTGTTGGACTTCAATCAAACTTTTTATTAACAATAAGAAATACAAAGGGAGAACAATGCTACAATGAACGTGACTATGTGATGGTGGAAATAAAAACTCAGCAAGGCCTTGACTGTGCCACGGAAGTGCAAGTCCAAGATAACAAAGATGGTAGCTACAAAGTCAGATATTTCCTCAAAGATACAGGAAAATGCCTACTATCAGTGAAAGCAAATGGAGAACATATTCGTGGCAGTCCATTTAATGTTGTGGCGAAACCCAGACAGTTTAGAGCCTTGCTATCTTTTGGACAAATGGGTTCGTCACCTGGAATGTTTCGCTGTCAATATGGAGTGGCCGTGAATGAACGAGATGAAATTTTAGTGACTAACAATAACCACAGGGTTCAGGTATTTAGTAGTGATGGAATTTACCTAAGATCTTTTGGTAGGAAGGGTGATAAACAGGGAGAGTTTAATTTCCCTACTGGCATACTAGCGCATGATAAGAATAAGAACATAATTGTTGTGAACACTTATAACCACCGTGTTCAGTTGTTCAATGATCAAGGTGAGTACCTGAACCAGTTTGGTGGTGAAGGAAATCTTGATCACCAGCTGAGTAGTCCTTTTGGTTTATCTGTTGACGGGAATGGAATATCGTTGTTGCCGATACGGGCAACAAATGTATAAAAACATTTTCATCCGATGGCCAGTTTTTGTATAAACTTGGTGAAGGTGAAGCGTTTACTGCTCCTCTTCACTGTATTCAATATAACAAACATCTTATAGTGTCAGACAGTGGTGAACATTGTTTCAAAGTGTTTGATATAAATGGCGATTTTTTGTACAAATTTGGAAATAGGGGAAACGGGAATGGGCAGTTCAATCAACCTCGTTTTTTGTCAGTTAACAAGGCAGGACACCTGATGGTCTGTGATAAAGACAATCACAGAGTTCAGGTATTTGAAGTGAGTGGTAAATTTGTAACAAAGTTTGGAAAGAGAGGTAATGGGCCAGGAGACTTCTACTGTCCAATATGTACAGCAGTTCTTAGTGATGGCAGGATAGTTGTGGCTGATTGGTTGAACAATCGTATTCAGATACTTGGGTAAATGTTAATAAATGCAACTTCTGTTACATTCAAACTTTGAAGTAATTCTGAAAAATGCTGCATGACAACACCTAGATTTTTTTTTCTTTCTGGTTTCAATTAGTGTATCCGTATCGCCCATTTGTAATCTCAAGCTTCTAATTCAGTTCTTAGGGAGGGCAAACACCACAGATCAGACAAACTCTTGTGATACTGCTTTAGATTCTAGTTTGTTAGGGAGGGCAAACAATAGAGATTGAAGAAAAATTGTTGTGATAGTGTATTCGCCATTGAAAGAGAAGAATCAATCAGTAAACTGAGTTTGATCGAGTGAGGAAAGTAAGAGTCTGTTTCAGAGTGTTCAGCTTTCTAGTGTTATTTACATACTTTTAAACAACAGGGTTGTGCAGCTCAGTTAATATTAATTCGGGAAATGGAAGTTTAGTTCCGTTCGGCTAAAATCCGGCTCGTGAGGGAAACCTCCAAACCATAATCCTTACAACAATGGATCACACGTTTTCCCCTGACTGATTCTTATGAATGAGAGTGAAAAAAATTCCACTTTTTCTTAACTATCTGGACAGCCGCTTACCACGTGTTTGTTTTATCACTGGAGGGTGCAAGGGCTCTTAAAGCTGTAAAAATATTTTAACTCTCAGTGACTCGAACAGTATACTTGCTCCCTGTGTTTAAGGGCGATCTATTTCCCTTTGTGTTCAAAGAGGAAGGATCAGTTCAATAATATTTTTGAAAACTTTCAAAATATTTCCAATAACACAAGTCACTCAACACATCTCAAAACAACATGCAATCGAAAGTTGCGAGTTCAGTTTGAGTTCAATTCTGAACCGACTAAACTCCTACAGCCTCGCTTAATCGTTCGCAACAACGAAAGTGATTTTGTTTCTCTTCTTCCCCAAGTGANCAAATGGTGTACGGGTCGACTCGATCGATTTTTCAAGCACAGTAATCTCCATAGAATAGCGAGCGAGAATACTCTCACCTTTGCCAAGCGCCTACTTGAAGTTTCATCTTTCCTTACGCGCAGAAATTCACGTCGCATGTTCATTCTGACGATACTCGTGGTCTTTCGTGAGGTTCGTGACCAGAAACCTTGGACCATGTTTCCCTCGTTTCGAAATGTTTCTTCCCTCTTGGTCTCTTCATCATCCACTGAATTCTTAAACACATACTCCCATCCTGACACATACTTTAACTATATAGGATTTTTCCAACCTAACAAATCCCTTAGAGGTTTACAACAGTCAGGTTATGCTTACAAGCTCATGATGACCTGTTTCCCTTTTTAATTGAAAAGTATTAGCAGCAGCGTGAACAGAAAATGTCTTCTTGTGGAATTTTACATCAAACATTTTTATTTTCTTCAGTAAAAGCATATTTTCGCGTCTGAGTTTTGCAATCATTTAATAACTTAGGGGCTGTTACGGGTCAAGCTTTTCTTAGAACTAACCTCTCTTGCAGACTACCTTCGTGGTAAGAATATTTCCCTTTTGTTACAATAAACAGGTTATCAAACTTTAAGTACACCTACATTGTTATTGAAGGGTGATCAACATATTATAAACCTACGTTTTTCTCTACAGCAAAGGGAACCCTTAGTGAGGATACCATCCATATTTTTTTACGTCAAATAGGTATTGTAATGTTTTGATATTATTTTACCGGAAGTTGTCCTAGCGGAAGTTCTTAGACATTGCAAAGGATCATGGATATTTGTATGGGCCATGCTTTCCGGTTGTCATGGCGGATGAATAAAGACTAGTTCCGTTATATAGTTTAATCTGGGTCATTGCGCGGCCATCCAAGTGACATCGTTACAGGTATGGGTTTCATCGATTTTATCCCACCGTTGATCTTTTATTTCAAATTTACATTGTCTTTCAGCTGGAATGTAGCTGTAATGTATTTGTTCTAACGTATCATGATATTCAATTCTTTTAATCGTTTTGGCTCTCCATAGCTTCTGCCATGTGCATGCTGCAATCCAAAGGTGTTGTGCACAGAGATCTAAAGCCTCAGAATCTACTGCTGCACTATGCAGGGACAACCACACCCTCACCATCACAGATCAAAATAAAGATTGGTAAGTTTTGGATGGGAGGTACTTTCTATTTCTCATTGGGTGTAACCAATAAAAGGGGCTCTCTAGGTGTCTGTCTGGGGATTTACTCTCCATCTGGCCTCAGTTCAACCTCAATCTTTCACCCTCATGGTGTCAAACTTCTTTATAGGGAACCCTCTCTGAGATGAGCCTTAATGTCTTAAATTATTCTCGCAGTATTCTGTAACAAGAAGCTTTTCACAACATCAAGTTACTAACCTCTTCCTTTTCCTTTCTTATTTTGGATCAGGACTGGTATAGTGACAGAGTTCTGAGGTATTTACTTTTATATTGATAAAAATTGATTTTAATTTTTCTTAATTATTATTTTAGCTGACTTTGGGTTTGCAAGATTTCTCCCTGGTAAAATGATGGCTGCTACTTTATGTGGATCTCCTATGTACATGGTTTGTGTAAACTACTAATACTTGTATATTAAAGTAGATCTTTTGTATTCTTAAGTTAAGAGTCGACCTTCTTCATCGCATCACTCCACCCCATGATGGCACTGGCATTTCCCCTCAGGACCCTCCCACAATCATGAATATCAGCACCTCTGGGAACAGTAAGTATTGCATGTAGGGTTTAGAAGTGCTTGATTGTCAAAACTTGAATTGGGAAACAGGAATAGTCAGGATGGCTGACCACTGTTTCTATCTCATCCATCTGTTTGTATTTTTATTTCAGACTCTGGTGCACAGCTTAGTTCTCAAGGTGCCTACCCTCCAAGTGCAGCTCAAGATGATGAACTAGCTGTTGAGGTTTGTCTGAGAGTACTTATAAGCTAGCCTGTGTATTAATCCAGCTAGCCTGTGTATTAGTCCAGTGCAGAAGATATGGCACATTGTAGCTTTTAGGGCAGCGTTGGAAAAGAAGGTTAATACCCCCTCCTTGTACCAGATGCTATACAACAGTGATTTTTCCTGGGGAATGTTCCCCCAAAACAACCCACTTTGCAGTTCCCCTACCTTATATCTGACTGACCTGAAGATACCCATTTCAAAGCAAACAAAACTCTGAGACTGAAATAAAGTAGTTAAATGGCAGTTTATCACAGACCAGAGTGCATAAACTATGCCCTACTTTGGATTTTATGTCTATGAGACTACGTACCCCTCTTTATCATGAGACTTTGATTATTATTCCTTCCCTCTCCTACAGAAATTTGTTTCTTTTTACATTTTGTAATTCTAATTAGTTTAATATTCATCTTTATCATTTAGGGTTTTGTGCTTGTTCCATCTAATCCAGAAACTCTAAGTGAGTATTCACATTTGTTAATGTACAGCACACATCTCAAGCCACACGTATACCTAAACAAAATCATTGCCAAGGTCTTCTTAATAAAAAATTATATCCTGCCATGCAGCATAACTCTGCAATTAGAATTTTGTAAAAGAAAAATGTAGATGACTGTGTAGTTGTAACTGGAGTGTGAAAACAAGAATTTCTGATGACCCCGTCATTATCAAAGTCAAATTGTTATACAACCCAATAAAACATGATTCCAAACCTTTTTTTTTTGTTGCTACACTGACCCTTTAGAGGTTTAAGTTTTCACTATCAAGTCAGGATTTCTTCTAGAGAATGAGTCTTCATATCCACTTTAATAAGTCATTTTTTTGTGTTCTTAGTTTAACCAGTAGAAACAATTATCGAGATAAAATTTACTCAGTATCAAGACTTTCTGAACCATTACATATAAAATTAGAACTACACTGAATGAGAATGATTCATGAAGCTTATCACTCTCAAGAGTGACTGGTAAATAATTTTATTTCAACTATTCATCACTATTAAGCAGAAAAGTGATGAGAATAAAAGTATCATTATGGGACTTATGTTTGATTTAAAACCAAATTCTTAGAACTTAAACCATTGGAAATATACGGTGGATAGAATGAGAATTGTCATTTTGATCTTGTCGTTAGTAGGGCATAA